CAAGGCAAAAGCCTCAAAGTCATAAATCATTGTAAGGCGTGATATTTGTGTCATGGTCATGAGTTCCGGAGTCTTGGCCTGTTGGGGCTGTCAGGTCCCGGTACGACCGCGATGACCGCCGTGGTGGACGAGGCCGAGATGGCGGTGGGACACCTGGATGAGTTTGGAATTTCAGATTTGGGGCTTTGGGCTTGCGATTTGTCATAACGTTGGGTTTTCGGTTTTGGGTTCTTGAGCTTTGGTGTTATAGAGAAGTTTAGGGTTAAACTTTTAGTTTCGTCAGACAGGGCCAGTGGGACATGGTGTATCATCTAGCCCATTTTGAAGCCATGCAGCATTGCAAAAGCAGTTTGTACATAATCCCGGCAACAATACGTTCTGTTCTGAGACTAGAGGGCATATATCATGAGTTCAGCTACTACAATTTACTGGCAACCCGTGGGTCCCCCCTTAATTAGGACTATTTAAAGATAATCAGGACTAACCAAGGCTGATTAGGAGGAACCTAGGGGCGAGTACTACAAGGGGGTGGGAAACAGAGGAACGCACGCATGAATATACTGTTGACACACAAATGCATGGCCTTACTATACTAGAGTGCCATATTTCCAAGGTAGAAGTGCAAGGTACTCAGGGTCTTGCAGGGTTTTGAATATCCACAGTACGAGCTGAATTTGGGTTTACCCCCAGATGACTACGACGTTCCCTTTAAGGCTCACTGAAGATAATAGCGAAGCCAAGTTTTTGCAATCATTACTTCCTTACCCGGCTTATAGAATAATGGGAGAAACTACACCAACGCCCAATTTTAGTTACTCAGGACCCTATGTTACTGTGTGATCACGCCGTGGAGGCACCAGGAGGCAAGCAGACAAGGAACGGCAGAAGAACTCCGCAGAACAGAATCTTCACAAATAGAGGGGACCCGTGCAAGTAGATTTACTTTTTGCCGCCTAGAATGTGTCAATATCACAGATCCTTACTCAAGGCATTTGTTGTCCGCAAGATGACCCTTTTGATCCAATGATGGTCCTTCTAGATGGCAACCCTAAATTTACCACACCAAAAAAAACCGCAAACCTAAACCCTAAACTCTAAACGCTAAATCCTTCAAAAACCCAAATCCTCATCCCAGGAAGTCGTCCGAGCCGGAGAAGCTTTTCATAGGAAAGCTTCGCGGCTGCAGCGACATAGGTTTTTTTTAGCTTTCCAAGGGTTTAGGGCCCAGGGGCCACTCGTAAGGTTCAGGCATTAAGGATTTACGTGTCGGTTTAGGGCTTAGAGTTTGCTGTTGGCATCGTTGGACGTGCGAAGGCATCCCGCAGAAGGAGCTATCCAAACTTAAGTTTCTGTCTTCGTTGGCACGTGAGGGAGCTTGAAAGAATTAGGGGTCCATTCTTGGGGTTATTATGGATTAGAGGAGTACATTTGTGGGTTTATAAAGGTTCCCCCTTCATATGGAAAACCCCTGCATGCAATAATCTGGAGGTCCCCTCTCGGGATCCTGAACCCTAAGCCTTAAACCCTAAACCCCTAAGTTGTTGGGGAGTGGGATTACATTTTTTGTCCGGTATGCATGTGGTTGGGATGTTTAAAAAGTCATAGTGCTAGCTTGCGTTGCATTCTTCTTCATGAAAAGTTGCCAGAGAAACGCTTTTCATGATGTGTTTGTCACGGTTCCTTTCGGCCAATCTAGGGTGGTTTCTCAAAATTGTGGATCCCGTCAAGGGCATTTGTAGCGAGGAGAGTTCTGTCGGAGAACTTTCAGATACTGTTCCAGACATGTATATACAGAGGTACATATATAATTGCATGCGACAGGCATGCAGGACAGTTTCTACAATTGGGGTCCTTGTTTTGCAGAGAAAAGAATAGCACGTGTGGGAAATGAGTTGGCTCCGATTGTTCGAAAATACCCGTCTACATACATATCCATACCTTCTGTGCTTATATACGCATACTGTAAATTCACAAATTACGGGACCCGGTAGCTATACGCATCCCACGCAGTTGATTCAGAGACAAAGACCCTGCCCTGACCTTGCGAAGGCTAAGTCTTGATGCGACCGAGGACTGCTCCACCCCAAGCTAGCTTACTGTGGCTTAGTAGGGAACATGGGAATTTTTGATACAGGGATTATAGGACTATACCGGGATGATATGCGATGATATTCCTTCATTGCCAACTGACGTCCAGTAAGCTAGGTAGTAAGACAATCAAGTTACAAGCTTAGACCCTGTGGTAGGTACTACCTAGGGAGCCCAGCAAAACGTAATGAGAGGAATCTTCCATATATCATATCAGGGATCCTGGCATCATTTCAGGTATATTCCTTACTAGCTGTTTACCTAGCCCAGAAGCTGTCAAATGTTACAATTTCTGATTTGACATTCATGTAATTTTCCCCTCGTCAGGAGGATGTACAGGATGCCTTCCGGCGGCTCTGCGACGTCAAGGTGCAAATCATCAAGGATCGCGATACTGGCGAACCGCGCGGCTTCGGCTTCGTCACCTTCCCTGACACCAACAAAGCTGAAGAGGCCATAGCACGGAAAAATGTTGATCCCTTCACCAGCCGCTTGCATTATCTCTCATTTCACGATGGCGCACACTCCAGCAGATTAATTGCGCTAGCTCGCTGGGCCCCTTGGTTTGCCTTCGACTTCTGTGCTCATCAAGCAGTTGGCAAGTGCTACCGGCGCTGTCTATGCAAGAGTGCACTTCGACCGTTTGCACTTGCAGGATTTCAGCGCCTCCCTTGTGCTTTCAATCTTGTGCGGCACTGATATGCCTTGTGCATGGTGGCTTGATGATAAGCACCAGACAAGAAGGGTTTCGGATTTCAGAGACTGGCACAGGCTGGCTCTAATCTTTGTGATGCAGACCTGCTTTGTTTCTTTCTTTTCGTTACTCCTAGTCATTTCGCATTTCGTGCAACAACCTCCTGGACAGGTCTTGAGCAGTAGCGCGTCACTGTCATAGCATCGCTTGCCCTTTGCTAGTTGCCACCCGTGGTGCAGCGCTTTGGTGGAGACGGCTTCTACCCGCGTGGGCGCACGTTCATGTGACATAGCCAGGCAGTGACCTAGCTACCCGAGGCCAAAAACGGGGGCCTCTAGTTGAAGATCCTCTTGTGTCCCCTGATGAGGCACTTCGAACTCTGCAAGGCGCCGAGGTTGCTGGGCAACAATGCAGACTGGAGCGCGCTGGGCAGAAGCCTGGAAACAGGCGGCTTGTGATACTTTTGAGGTCCCAATGCCAAACCCAGCTGCTCCCTCAGGGAGTCACCTAGCCGATCGCACGGTCGCCGCGGCCGTGGGGACCGTGTTGCACGAGCGAGCCGGTCGCGGCTTCGTGGTCAGCATTTGGCCCCACTAGCCTTGAATACAGCCGTGGAGTCAGTGCTAGGGTCTGTTGTTTTGGCAGAAGAGTTGACAAGAGACAGAATGCAATTCAATATTCACTTGTAGCCAAGAAGTCCCTCACCTCAGCCACTCTTACGTTCAACATCTCGCACTTCTCAACATAATTCAACCCCGTTACTCCTCTAAGACGAGTTTCATGCTTCGCATTTAGACTCCCTCAGGTCCCGAGGGGGTGGCAGAGGCCCTGGTCGCGACGATTGGGATGCCAGGGGTGATGACCGAAGGCCGGGAGTGGCAGTCAGGCACAGCCAAGCTCGCCCAGATGCAAACTTTAGCTGGGTATGTGCCAAAATTGAGTTTTTGGACCGAATCCCCCGAAATGAAACGGGATAAGGGGATCTTCCTTTCTGGCACACGCGCTCATGCACCCATGTCAACCTTCGAGTGCGTGCCCAAAGGTAACCAGACTAGGGGCAGTTGTGATGTCTAAATGAAGCTGAATCCGGGTGCATCGAGCAGCTCAATAGAGCACCATGATGCTTTCTCAGAAAATGAGCTCAGAACACACCGTCTTCTCATGTGCTCCTGGAATCTGGCGCCGGATGGTCCAGGGGAGCAGCCTTCGTGCCAGACACAGGTGCCTCTTCCTGACTTGAGCGAGGATTGAGCAGCACCTCAAGCATCATCTTGACCATCCGAGAGCACTCTGTTCCATGCGCGCTTTGCAAGCTAAGCCAGCTTTCGATGCATCGTGGCATGTGTGCGTGGCTCCTGGCTTCACACCACCATGGTCCAGCTTGGCGAAGCCACAAGGCTTCCTGACATTTTTCAGACGCACGTGCCTCCCGGCGTGGACCCCAGGACCAGAGGCTCTAGGCTCTAGGCGACGTTACCTGAGGAAAGGCAACTGCCATTACAGAGCAACATAGTCTTGTCAGTTAATGCCTTGCCAGGAGTTACATCTTAATCTAGCTTAATAGTCGCTGGTCTCGGCCATCGACTCCAGGCGGTGTGCGAGTGCCAGCAGAGCAGCTCATCGGAGTGGGCGCACTTTCACAAAGCAGAGCAAGTCGATGTACCGAAGGCAGCTGCGCAGTTTTGCCCAACATGCCCCGCGATGTCGGACCTCGAGCGGCATTCTTGGGCACATGGTCATCCGGCCGGCGAGATGGCAGCTTATACCCTGCCCTTTTGTAAGGGTACCTGACCTCGTGGGTGATAGTTTCTACATATACCACAATAGGTGCCCTAAAAAACGGTATGATGCCGCGAAGCAGCATTTTTCCTCTTACGAGCCTCGGATGTGCGAGAGAAGTGGCAGATGACGCAGCATCGCTCCTTCGAGCTTTGGATGGATGCCGTGTTCAAGCCGTTGCCGGCCTGGAAAGTGTGGAGGGGCTGGTTAACCTGAGTGAAGTCGGTTCCATGCATGCAGAGCAGAGGGCACGGTGGATTGGAGTGCAGCACACTTCAAGACACTACCCAAAACAATTTCAAGTTGGATACATGTGGATTTTTTCTTACTGAGGGTCTTCTATAGATCCCATAGAATGAAAACCTCATCAAAAGGCCTGCAAATTTGATCCCGAGTTTTCAGAAATCCCATTGGGGCGTCAGCAGAATTCAGCAGTGTCATGAGATATGCAGACTCCAGAGTCGAATTTGCCCGGCCCTTCCCTGAGAGGCACGGCCGGAGACGTGAGCGGGAGACCTGGGAACTGCGAGGGCCGCGCGAGCGTCGCCGTGGCAGTCTTAGTTGAGAGTATCTGCAAACTACCCCCACAAAATCCTAGGGGTTCCCTACATATCCCTGAATCCCCCAAGGATACCGTAATTCAAGGAACACCAGGACTCGGAAAGGTGGAATCCCCTTAGAACAGTATGGGGTCAGCCGGACGTGTTGATGCAAGACATACTGCAGGACTGTAACACCCCAGTTCATCAGAACTGCCAGAGTGTATCCACACCTGCGGTGGTGCAAGATCTTTCCGTCAGCGGTACGTTTCTTCTGAATCCCAATACGTATGTCGGAACATCTTAAGGCGAGCGGGGTGATCGCGGAGAGCGTGGAGAGCGTGGAGAGCGTGGAGAGCGTGGAGAGCGTGGAGATCGAGGTGGTTGTTTATCAATATTTAAATGACAATGAGGGTTCTGGGCTAATGAAGCTTTATTCCAACAGGGTCCAAATCATGTGGTTCCTTTCAGAACAACGATTCCTGGATCGGCGGTTTACCGAAGCCGTACCTGGAAGCGGTTCTGCTCGAACATGTTGGTTTTCTATACATCTCTGAACTTTGAACATCATAGAGACTGTTTTTGAACACGCTGAAATAGAGATCAAAGGGCTTGGATTCTGCCCGCAGTCAGTAGTAGTTGGACAAGAACTGCAATGTAGATCTTACAGTTGTATAGTCCCGAATGTGACCCCATTAGAGACTGTGGTAGGGTGGGGTTGTAATACTAATCCCTACAACCTGAGCCCAAATCCCTAAACCCGAATCCCTAGTCCCTGAACCCCAATCCATAATCCCGAATCCCTATATCCTTTAGCCCCAATCGCTAAACACTTAACCCAAAACCGCTCAACCCCTAAACCAGAATCCCGAATCCCTAATCTTTCATTCTAGACCCCCTGAAGCCTCTACCCCTATGTACTTCTATATACCCGTATATATAGCTCCACATAACCGTAGACGACCCTATACCATCCTAAACTCCCTAAACCCCAAACCCTAACCCAAATAGCAGCTTCCATTTTCTTTTCCATTAACCCTATATATAACCCCTATAGTCCTATGTAGGTGAGCGTGGTGATCGCGGCGAACGCGGTGAACGAGGCAGAGGAGACCGCGAGCGACAGCATCGAGGCTAGGAAGCGAAGTTGATTCCATGTAGGATATATGGGGATGTATAGGGTTTAGGGTCTAGGGTATAGGGTCTAGGGTATAGGGTTTAGGGTTGTAGGGTTTAGGGTCTAGGGTTTAGGGTTTAGAGTTTAGGATTTAGGGCTTTGGGTTCAGGGTCTAGGGTATAGAGTTTAGGGGTTATATAGGGCGTTATATAGGGCGTTATATAGGGATGGATAGGGGTATATTAGGACATGTAAGGATTTTTTGGGGCATAATAGGATATACAGGGATGGTTTTAAGGTTGTAGTCTTATGGGTTTAGGGTTTGCTTATAGGGATATATGAGGTTGTAAAGGTTTATATGGGGTCGTGTATGGGGGTATATGAGGGTATATAGGGTCATATACGCCTTTTACGGGGATGTAAAGGGATATATAGGCGTATCTAGGGGTAGGTAAGGGACTGGAAGAGAAGACAGAAACTTCCATCATGTTTCGGGCTTAGGGTTTAGGGCTGATAATATACAGGGGTTATGCTGGAACATCTTACCCCAATACATACTGCAGAATCGGACGAAACAGTCGGACACTCTGATTGTGAGTGGAGAACACAGTGAAAGGAGAGTCTTTACATGCACCTCTTGTAGAGGTTTTAGAGGCCCTGACTTTGATTTCCAAGGTATGACTCTGACCATGCTTGCCTTAGCTTCATCTCTGGGGCTGTAAGACCTAAACCCTATAGGGTTTCCCCAATATAGTAACTTAATTTGAGTTCCTTAACAGCAACCCAGTAATATTCCCCAAGATGCTGCAACCGTCGTTGTGCGTCCTTGCCCTCCGCCTCACTATCGCCTTCCGAATTCATTTGTTCTTGCTGAAGCTTATTTTTCGAGTGTATTGCGAGCATCCTTGTGAATTCCTCAGGTTTCTCACGTACTCTTGTTGGTACCTTGTCAACTTCAAAGATATCGTTCTGTGTCATTTCCTATGGTTTTCGTCAATCATCCATACATGGGATCCTTAGTAGTTTCGCCACGGCCACCATTATGATGATTCCAGCTTCGTAGATCTGATGACTAAACCCTACACCCCAAGCAGAGCCCTCACATATTAGAATATAGATTCCCTTAGTCCCTACTAACACTCAGTAAGTGCATCACATATAGTTTCATATACATCCAACCCTCACAGTGGCCAGGCGACTCGCAGGACTCGCGGCCGGTGGAGAGGGAGCCGCGGCGCGGCGAGCGCCAGCGCTCGCGCACACCGGATGGCCTGCCCAGGACCCGCTATACCTGGGCTCTTGTAGAACAAAGTTTTACATTTTTTATGGGTACCTGGGTCAATAAAAAAAGATAATTTTTAGTGGTGTTCAACAAGGACCCAGATACAGGGATCTTAAGGTTTAGGGCCAAGTTAGGGCCCCAGTAATGTCCGAGCCAAGATGTAGGGGGGGTATGGGGTTTAGGGTTTAGGGCTAGGGTTTCGGGCATAGGGTTTAGGGCCCCAATAATGGGGTTGTATCGGTAATAACGGAAAAGAAAACGGACACTACAAGATTACTTAGAGCTTTGTGTTAAGGGATCTTACACCAATAATGGTATAATTGTTGCTAGTACTAAATATCCTGCATTACCTTAGTTTACTAGAATACCATAGTTCCTCCCCTGGGTAGCATTAGTAGTAAGCGTCGGTTCATTGTAATAATAATCATAGTAACCGCAATATCAACAGCAATGTCAGCAGAAAGAGTAACGGTTATAGTAAGAGTAGTTGAAACGGCAATAATAGTTGACATTGACATAGTAATGGCAATAATACCAGGAAGACGGAAATTAGTAGTAGTGGAGCAGGGGGGTTTATTTGTTGTAAGTCAGGAATGGAGGATGGAAAATGGAATGGTAACTACTACACTATTGGACGGTGCGTAGACGCCATCATACGGATTTAACCAGTAAGTTCAGAGACGTTGAGGCGAATGCCAGTTCCAGCATGATGTAGTGGAGCTTCTCAACCACACTTATGGTCAATCTGTGACGCATAGAACTGCCAACAGTCTGAGAGCTCACTTTCTCGCCGGAAAGACTGGATCAGGCTTCAGTCCCATGAGTCTGCGTCCAAAAGCGCCATGCTTCACTCAAACCCCAAACCCTCAACGCACCACACCCGTCCCCTTGCTAGGAAGAGCGAGGCCATCAATGCCGCGCGATCGGCATATGAGGAGAGCGTCCGCGCTATTCGCACCTAACTTTCTTCGGCTGTTATTCTAGTGTGCATCCCAACACTTACCAGGAAGCATGGCTTGGGAAATCATCCTGGATGTTGCAATTATGGGCTTGTCTGGTAGACTCCCAGATTGTTGAAACTCAAGATATCGCAGGCCTAAGGCCTAGGGTAGGGGGCTTCAGGCGTTCCAACCAAAACCTGCCAACAAAAACCCTTGCAACCTTGTAGATCCTGAAAGTCTCCGGTAGGCCTTAGGTAGCTTCCAAATCTCAGATGAGCTATATGAGGGCTTCACGATCCCAACGTCCCTCTAGTTTTCAGATTCACCCATGCGGTCGCATGGGTGGCCTTCTTCCTAAACCCTAAACAATTTGACCTCTAACTTGAGCCACAAATCCGAGCAACTTGATAGGAGTCATGCCGGCGTTTGCAGATGGCCCAAACAGAGGCAGATGCGGCTGAGGCCCTCGTGAAAGCTCTTGAAGCGACTGGCAGGTTTTGACCTGCATATGCTACGGGGATCACGCTTGTCATCCTAATGCATCCTTAGGAATCCTGCACGTGGGACATGAGGGTCCGTTTTGCGGGCTGGTGTGGAGAATTCAATTGTGTTGGAGGATTGGGGTGCTTATCTTGGCACATGCCGAGGGAAGGCCTTAGAACTTGTAGAATTCTGCACAGCCTGGACCAGAGGTTATAAACATGAACAGAGTAACTGTCAATTTCAGTTCACTTGTTCCATATGAGCATGTGAGCTTGTTTACCATTGGGCCGGCTTATGTGTATGTTATGTTGATTCAAAATCTGGGTGCTCCCGTGAGGCAAAGTCTGATTGCATTTGTTGCGCATGCATGCTGTGCCAGGCAGCGTACAAGAAGATGCAAAAAGCGGCCGATCACGCTATTGACCGCAAGGCGTGTGAACAGAAACAGGATTAAGAACGGGAACTTCAGCAATTAGGGAAGCTATGGGGAGATTGTTGGCGCTGTTAAAGCTTCCTGTAAAGTATCTGGTTTTGCCACACAGAACATGCATCCTTACCCTTTCAGCAAGGTCGCCGAGGAGAGTGACCACATCAAGAAAGACGTTGAGGTTAAGCTGGGTTGGGCCCTGAGATGGCTAAAAGAATGTAGGGTTTGAAGAGTTATACAGGGCTAAGTTTTTTATAGGGCCTATACTACTACTAATGGAGAATCAAATTATGAAAAAGAAAATGGAGAATGAAATGGAAGTCGAGCTTGTGTATAGGGGCTTATAGGGATCTTGTATATAGGGTTTATACGACTGATGGAGCATCAAATGGACCAGAACATGGAAAATGAAATGGAAGCTGGGCTTATGTAGGGTGTTCTAGTCCTGGCTAGTAAAGGGGCCAAAAACATTAGTGAAGAATCAACTGCAAAAGAACATGGAATACGAAATGGCAACTGGGCTCACATGGGTGTTTATAGGAAAGCATAGAGGGATTATGGAGAGTTACACATGCAAAAGAAACGGAAGATGAAACCACAGACCTCAACATGATGCTGGGAATTATTTGGGCCCCCAAATTTACATAAGACCTATAGCACCATATCATCCCAGTTTCCATTTCATTTTCCATTTTAATTTTTCACTTGATTCTCCATCATTGGGGGTATTATCCCTAAACCCAAGCCCTACATGCCAACGCCTATAGCACGTTTCAGTCCCCATGCGCTACAGGTCCACTGAAGCAATAACGGGGGTTTTAGTTAACCCAACCTCTGTCGTAACGACTGGGGATGTTACCCCCAACAATAGGAGAATCAAATGGAGCAGAAGAAGGGTCATGAAATGGAAGCTGGGCTTATATCGGCTTTATAAGGAGTTTGTTGTGGAAATCCTGCCAATTGTCTAATTGTTTTTGCTGCTGTGCTGCCTCCTCTCCGCTCCTCCTTCTCCCCTTAGGCTGCTTGCTACTGCAGCTCCTCAATCTGATGGCTGTCGCCATTGCTCAGGTGCCATGAAGGCCGCTGCCAAGAATGCCTTGGCTCTGGCCCTGGACGATGCCGAGCTCCAGTTGCGCCAGGAGCTGGCAGACAAGATCGCACAGATGAAGAAGGACGGCCTCAGCGGAAGTGTTTAGAACTTGAATCTCTGGGGGCCTGGCAGGCTTGAATGTGCTGTTTTGGCGCAGGGAGGGGCCCAAATTGAGGGGCGTGGGGTAGTTTTTTCGCGTGTTGTTTGATCCAAGCCTGGATCCTCAAGCTGTACCTGCAATCTTCAACCCTCAGCCCAAGCGAGAAGCTTGAAGCCTAGAATTTGGGTCATTCCCCCCTACAGGAACAGTTGCTACCATGGGTAGGAGTTAGAATAGCTCTTTAATAAAAGCCCCTTTCAGGACAGTTACTGTAGGGGGGAAGAACCCCACTCATAGCATTCTTCAGGACTACCAGAAAAAGGCCTGAGCCTCAGCCTGGGTTTGTCCTTACCTTTGCGAAGGAAGGAATGGAAAAGAACATGAAAACTACTGTGATGAGTTATATAGGGACTAGTATAAGGATCCATTCCGTCATTCCTAGCTAACCAAGGTAAGTTTCAGGCATTCAAGCAAGTATGATCACGCGCCCTAGAGACGCCAGTTGGTGTTGTGATCTTGGGGAATCTTTGTTTTTTGATAAGGGTCCAGGGAGAGCGATACGTTTTGAAGAGGGGTAGATAGGATGACACAAGACCTAGTTTCGTCACAAGTATAGCTCGTGCAGCTCTAAGTCTGGATGTGGACGGGGTGATCCAGTTACTGTAGAAGCTTTTGCAATCACAAGTCGTGCAATTCTTAGTTCCCTTCTGATTATTCAGGCCCATGACGTGCACCCATGCCCAACGAACACGTTGCTTCCGAAATCCGGTGCAGATCATTCTGCATAGATACGAATACCTCAACCCGGAACTATAGAATCCACCCCCCTCAACCCGAAGCCCCCGTCCTTCTCTGCGGCTTAGACTCATTCTTATGGTCCTTAATCCTTATAGCAGTTTCCATTTTCTTTCCCATTATCCCAATATAACCCCTACATAATAATGTAACCCCTATAGTAGTTCGAGTCCTTCAGCTCAGGTTGAGGACGAACACACTCGCATCCGCCGGAAGCACACGGAGGAGGCTGAGGACGCAGAGGCGAAGGCTCGGCAACGCTGAAAACCCTTATCATCTTTTTGGTTCCTAAAATGAGGACTAAGGGAATATATTCTATAGGGGTTACATAGAGGTTATATAGGGATTATATTGGAATTATTGGTTCTTAGTAGGTAATAAGGGAATATACTCGGAATAGGAGTTATATAGAGATCCTGTAAAAATTATATAGGCATCATCTAGGGATTATACTCCCTGATTCCCGATGATGAACCACTAAGTCATGGGTCCTTGGATCCGACACCTACAGCATGGCGGCCTAGTCTATAAACTCGAAAACCCTGTACCCCAACCCTTAATTTACCCCGGAACCCCAAGCGCTAAACTACCACAGTACTTGGCAGGTGCAAGAAGAGGCAGATGACAAAATCAAGGCCTGGAAGCGCAGGGCCTTCGGGGATGACTTAAGTCGATGTCCTTGCCGGGTGGCTTTTGATTTGCAGGGCTGACGTTGGTTTTGCATAGCATTTTTCGTGATGAGGCTTGAGTGTCGGCCACGCTGCTGATATTTGCCATTTCCTAAAGGGAGTGGAGAAGACCAGATAGCCGCGCCGGTTCACAACAGTGGTGCTGGCAGCAGTGCAACGGGAATAGTAGGTGCGGCTGGTGGTGATTGTGGTGGTCGTCTTAATTCTCGTAGCAGCTCATAGGAAACACAGAACCAAAGCATGGATTGTCTTGTTCATTGCCATACCGCGATCTTGTCAAAAGGATCCACAGTTTGGAAACCTTCTGAACCCTCAGCACTCAGGAGCTGCGCCGGAAGGCGGAGGAGGAAGAGAATCCTTGGGAATGGCAGGACGCCAGGGACAAGGCGGGGTCTAGGGTTTAGGTTCAGCAGGGTTAGTTTTTTTGGAGATATGTGTAGGTGTGCAGGATTTGGGGGTTCTGAGGCTAAGGGTTCAGGCTTGAGGGTTTTGGTCTTCGGGGTAGGACTTCAGGGTTCCCAACATGCTGAGGTCTTCAGGCGTTCCTTGTTGGGAGTCCCCTGGCGTGCTGGTAAAGAAGGTGGGATTTTCCCGGGAAACTGAGGGGGGCCCGCCTTTCTGGGAACAAATACTTGTATTGGGAAGTTCTAGTAATACGGAAGTGCAGGGAGTGTTTTGGGGATAATTTTTGAAGAATGGGCCGTGGAGGTCTGCTGAACTCTTGTGCAGTCGGTTGATAGACATGCAGCTGTACAGGGCCGAATTTATCATGGGGAAGCAAAAGGGGTTATTGCCATTTACTTAGGGATGTGGGGCGGATTTTGAATTTGAAACTTAGAAATTTCAGAATTATGGAATGGTAAGTTTGTATGGGCTCGAGGGTTCAGGGTGCAGGGTTTAGGATTTAGAGTTCAGGGTTAGGGTTTAGGGTCTGGGTTCTTGATGAGCTTGAGATGTTTACCATGGGACAGATTTTTTACAGTCAGCCAAAAGCATGTTTTTTTTGTTAGTGCCTGGTCATGGAATTTTGAGGTTCTGCTGCAGGAAACATAGGAAGCAAGCAATTTGAGACATCCCCATCGATGTTCACAAGGCTGTGGAAGCCTTGCAGAAGGAGGAGGACTGGATGATTCAGGTGTTAGTCGGTAGTAGGGGGGGGGGTGGATTTTGGGGTTCAGGGTTCCGGGGTCTGAGTTTAGGGTTCAGGGTTTGCGGTTTGGGGCTTTAGAGAGGGCCCTCACTGTAAAAAATCGTAGTGCAAACGGGACACCGGGAGCAACCATACTTCTGACTCACGGTTTAGTCTTAGGCAGGGCCCCAGGAGCTAGTCCAACAGGGGCTGGAACAAGTACCAAGAGTGGATAGTCAAATTGACAATGAAAGTAACACTCAGCTTATATAAGGGTTATACAAAGCTCTTGTTGGAGAGGAGACCCTACGGGGTGGCACATGGGCCAATTTGGTCTTATAGGCAATGCTCCAAGTTCCCCAGATTTTGAGACACCCCATAAAGCCATGCGGTGGTACTCATAGCTGGTATCCAATTCTAAAACTCTAAAAAACTTGTTCCACCATGAGCATCCGCAGAAAGAGCAATGATGTAACGAAAGGATTAATCACCTTCCCCTAATGTTTCACACTCACCCCTCGCCCCCGAAGGTCCCGCAATGCACTAAGCCTCTTGGAGGGTGTGCTTAGCAGGTGAAGAACTATGAACTGAAGGGAAGGGACAACAAAGGAACGTGTAGGATCCAATGGGGCTTCAGGCTTTGGGGGCCTTAAACCCAAGCGCATCGCCCAAGCTGTAAGTTGCAGGGTTGCATCATGCAGCCCCTTCTACTTGCAATCACGTCTTCTGCTGGTGTTTTAAATGCTCATCTTGGGCATTTGTCAAAACTGCTACCTTAGTTTTAGGGAAGATCAGTAGATCAGAAGGGGTTCCCGTTAGGCATAACGCGCGGAAGGTACTGAGAAACTCCCATCTAGTTGGGGCTTTTCATTCCCAAGCAGGAGAAGTTGGATTCGGCGAAGAGGCGTCTGGAAACGCTGACAGGTCAACCGGTCCAGGACAGAAGACGTAACGATATAGGGTTTCGGAAAAGCCGGGGGTTCGTTGCGTGCCCCAGCTTGGCGGCGGCAGTCCGCAGTTTTTTAAGGAAGGTGCTGAACATGCTGGGCTGTGGTTGGCAAAGCCAGGAGGTATCTTTCATCTCTCGACTGCCCCGGGTAATCCCTACACCCTAAACCGTAGTAATGCTGGGACTTTGGGTTTCGGATCTGGGGTTTCAGATCAAGTTTTGCTTGGGAAGGCTCGAAAGGCACGAGGCGGTCAGTGACTTCCCCGTAATGTAAAAGCCTGTATACTTAAACATATGATTCCAGCACAACCCTGATAGAGTTAGCAAGATATTCGGACTATTATACCCCAACAACCTGGTTCTGATAAAACAGGAACTTACATGAACTATAGTCTAAACTCCTGAAAGGGGGCTTATAAAGGGGGTTCTATAGCGGACTATTACAAGGGTTACTAAGCGGGATACCAGGAGTTTAGACTATAGCTCACATGAGATTTTCAAAAATGTGTCTGGCCTATGTTTTTTAGTGACTCAGGTTGGGTTTGTACAAGCCCTGTTCCGTGCAATTTTTTGCTTCCCCTCCCGTGTTGAGACGTCGCCAAGCGCTTACAATATTGATTTACTTGAAATATGGATTTATAATAATCGCGGAAAGGGGAAATAGTAGTATTAAATAGAATAAGAGCAGCAATAATAGTCATAACAATAACATCAGTAGTAATAACAGCAATAATCATGATATATGACAGGAATACGAACAATAACATCAACCATAAAAATGGTAATACCAATAATGGCAATGGTAGTGATAATGATTATGAGAATGTTCAGAAGAATAATGAAGCAGTCTTCTGCGCCAGGAGCGCCGCTCTCGCTCGCGATCCTTATTGCCACGAGACCGAGAGAAGCGCAAGAGGATTCCGCCCCCACCGCCGCAGGCGGGCTGGAGCCATCCTTTTTGAATGAACACCTAACACCTGAAAATATGGTGGCACGCTGCAAAGAGAAATGTTGCACATTTTTCAACTCCATCTGCAACAGGCGCGGCGAGACTAGTTGGTGCGTGCAACCGACACAATGATCTGATCAGCTGCTGGCAGGCAGGGCAGTAAACTTACTAATTTACTTGCTCGGCCCCCTTTCTCTTCTCTGTGGCGGCCCCCATGTGTCCACATCTCCATCAGGAATGTATGGTAGGGAGGGATGCAGTCAACTACTGGGGGGGGGATCCGTGAGCACATCTTCAGTGAATCACGGGGAGATCTTGTTCAGGCCTCCACCGTAGCACGGCGCAATCGCAGCTTTCGATGCGATGGGATGGCGCGTCGGCAGAGAAAAGAGACGGCATCGAGCCATTGTTAAACTGGCAAAGCGTCTGTTTTGTGCAACTGCTTGAAAAGTACCCATGAAGCAATGGGAAGCAACAGCTGGTTGCAAATCGAGTAGCAGGAGCGACAGCGGCTGCTGCAACGATGGGAGTCTATGCCGGGACAGGTACGACTGCTGTTGCAGCTTTAGATTTGACCGTCCCAAGGAAGCTACAGGTAACTGCTGGCAGCTGAACCGCACCCGTAGCAGTAGCACTGTGGACTTTGCTGAGTGTGACATGCTTGGCAGGTGGCTGGTTTAGAAGGCATCTGTGCGGCTGGTTCAAGTCATCCTTCAGCTGTTTCTACCGCTGACAAAGTTCATGTGGTGATCTACGTCAATTTACGTACATTTTCTGCCCACACTACGCAGCTACTACCGAACCAGCTGACAGATGGAAGGCTACGGGGTTCAGGCATCCGCGGCTTTCATAAAGAACAACTAATCCCGCTCGGCCCTCCGGCATGGCTCACCCCGAAGGGCAGGCCCAGGTCCCCTGGGCCGGGCCATGCAGCTGGCTCTTTGGGTGCTGGTGTCGGGCCTGCTGCAGCTTGGGGCATTTGAGTACGGGCCTCCGGGAGATCCAAGTTGCTGGCTGGAGAACATGAACTTTGAGACCTGCTGCCTACCTCCGCCGCGGGGGAACGCGTTCTGCTGGGAAGGTGGTTTCACATACGAACGCTGCTGCCGCAGGGACCCAAACCAGCCAGTGGATATCAACAAGGTGGCAGAGATCTCTGAACTTGGTGGCTGCGAGCTGAACATCTTCCAGGAGTTCAAGGAACGTGCAGGCCGCTCAACTGTTACTTCATGGCTCTGTTCGCCACACATTTTCTTGCAGATTAAAGCTGTTTTTGAATTTACAGCTTGAAGTATGGATGACAATTTGATTCTCCAGGTTCCTGTATACCCCTTTCTATCTAGAAAAATCCTAAATAAGCCTTGTAAAGCCCCTGCTACCCCTCAAAAGGATGGGTGCAGGTGAATGGTATCGCAATTCCGTGCCGAACTTGGTGCTCTTCCAGGAGTTCGGCTACATTTCTCGACGATTTGATGCCATGTACAGGACTTAGGGGGTTCAGAGATCCTAGGTCTACGTCATACAAGAACATGAATATTTCCATACCCCCCTATTCATTGTACTTTGCCCTGGACTGCTACAAGTTGTGAGAGGAGCCTGCATGACCACACAGCCACAAACATCCTTGAAGGGACATCCCTGCCAAGGATTACCCTGTCCGCATTTCAGTTGTTGTAGGCCCTTAAACCCCGAACGGACAAAACAGTCAACACTCTAAACCTGAAAGCCTGAATTTTCAATCCAGACTCTCAAAGTCATAGATCCTATATATTAACCCATTATAGTAGTTTCCATTTTCTTTTCCATTATCCCAATATTACCCTAATATATACGCTCTTTTAATCCCTATATAGCCCCATTATAGTATAGACCATCCTCAGCTCAACTGCTCAGCTCCATATCCCACAGGAGCTGTGCGCCTGCTGCGCGGGCCTTGGGGAAGTCTGTGGGTTTCTTAAAACTAAGGCTAGGCGCTCAGGATGAGGGTCCAGGGTTTAGGATTTAGGGTTGGGGGTCGAGGATTTAGTGTTGCATGTTGAGGTTTCAGAGTGCAGGTTGAAGGGTTGCAGCTTGAGAGTTCAAGGCAGTTTTGCAGTTTTGGATTTAAGGTCCCGGTTGTATTTGGGATTGCAGGGTTCCTGTCTGGGGGTCTACAGGCGCTTTTCAGGGTGGTCAAGACTATGGCCCCTTTGTGGGGAATCCTTTGCACTGCTACTTCCGGTACCCTGCGCCACATTTTCGGGTCTAACGAGACAAGAGAGATCTATCCACACATGGTTGGAATCATTTTGGAGGATTGCCGGGCCAAGGGGTTTCTGAAGATTAAGGGTCTCTTCTTACTGGTTATTTCCCCAGAAGTCTTGTTTGAAGTCCAGCCATATCTGCAAAACCCATCTGCCCCTGCATCTGAGTTTCTCGCAAAGTATTTCTGTGGTCATTGGCAGTTTCCTTAAATGGGGCGCCCACGACAAACTCCGAAATATTGGAATCCTCCTTATAGAGACAGGCCATAAAGTATCAAAAGCAAAAGTTGGGAAAGCCTCATTATAGAGGCCGCCAAGACGTAGCCAAGCTTGGGCATGATCCAAAGCCTTAGTCCGAAGCTTGAAGATCCATGTAGCCCCCTACCTCATATGATAGTGTTCACAAAGTTAGGTCCCCTACATGCCCCAAGCATAATACCATCCGCATACTATGAGGAACTCATAAATAAAGGTTGGGGTTTCCAGCCATTTGGGAGTCCCTTTCTGGAGTTCCTGTCATGAGAGATAGGGGCCCAAACCCTAGACCCCTAAATTCTAAACCCCTAAATTCTAAGTCTAAGCCCTCAACCCTTCAATCCTAAAAACCCCTTTAAATCCGAGACCCTGCATCCCAAACCCGCAACTGTTTGTACAACTTCCGAGCTCAGGCTCTCACGGCCTTGCTCCTCAAGCTGGAGTCCATCTACTTCGAGGAGGTCACCGCAACAGTGAAGTGCTTGAGGGCCTAGGATTTCCCTATAAGAAAGGGCCTATATAGGGATATCTACATATATGTGTATATAGGAGATTTAGGGTTTAGGGTTTAGCGGTTTAGGGGTTTAGGGTTCAGTGTTTAGGAGTTTCATGCGGCGCTTTCCAACTTGGCTTCCGTGAGAGCATGACTAGTGATTGTGTAAGAGTACATAAGAGGCAGCAGTAATAGTATTAATGGTAATGAGTAGAATATTTTGCAAAATTGCAATAGTAGGAATGAAGTGATCATAACTAGAATAGTCATGGTGATAACAGTCGTTATCCTACTTGTCGTACTCGTAGGTATATTGCTAGCCATAGCAATAACCGTAGCCATCGTAAGAACAGTTGTAAGAATTGCAATAATTGTATTCACTTCTAGTATTCGTAGGAATAATTGGAAGGCTAGTAATGAAAGTAAGAACAGGAATACGTGTAATCATGATAAATAGCCACAACAGTAGTAACAATCATTCTGGCAGAATCAGAACATAGCAAGACTAGTAAGTACCTGTAATAAAAGTCAGGGTAGTAAGAGACTTAAGAGTAATCCCATTAATAAGACCGGCATGACTGATGGGGATAACATCTAGAACCTGCAATGAGGAAGCAACTTTTGCTCCGCTTTACGCCCACTATGCGGAGCAGCACCACCAGGCTCACATGCCATCATGTTTTGAAGAATTTTTCTGTCGTGTTCCACGTAGGTATTTCGATTTTTCAGTTTTTATTGTCAGATACTTTGCTTTTGCTGATTTTTTGCGATTCACATGCGGTGACCTCGATGGGTGAGTGTTGTGGTAAGATGGCTGTTGTCAGCATTTCTCCTGCCACTACTATGGCTAATTCTACTCTTATTAGGATCGTGATTGCTGCTACCGCTGCCGCTGCTGAGGCGCCGCTGTTGCTAGTGCTCATGCTACTATTGCTTCTACTACTGCTATACCCTGACCAGAACTTTCTACTGACGCTAGTGCTCCTGGTAATGTGCTGCGAAACTCTGCCTAGCCTGATTTTCGAGGCGGTGGCCAACGGCGACTTGCTGCAGCTTGGCTTGCACTGAGTCATGCTTCTGCGCTGACCTGGATATGGTAAGTCTTATTCGCGGCATATCTGAAAATGCTCTAGCTGCGGTCATTGCTATTCTTGCCCTACGTAAGGGACGCTGTTTTCGGAAGCCTTGAGGGTTTCTAGCGATAGCAGGGAGGCATTAGTCCAGTCCAGCTTGTAGTGCTGCTCGCGTGATTGGTTTCTGGCCGGAAGCCTACACGCATGCCATTGTTGGCTCAGTTCAGGCTTGACCCGCGTGTCCTTAGAAGTTTAAATGCTAGGTCCTAGGAATTTGAGGAGCTACGCTGGAGCGAGAACGTGTGCCCTTATGGAGAGGATGCGCATGTACACGCTGTCCCCATGTCATGAACTCTTCTCACCTGATGTTGTCACGGGGCATTTTGGATGCTTCGCGGTTCAAGCTGATTTGGTATGAGAAGAGCACAAGCGCGTCGCATCAAAACAAGCAACCCCTGGAGCTCACCTCCCCCTTCGCCATCCGCCCCGGCAGTGAAGGGCCGAAAGATTCTGGATGAAGCAATGTTGTGCGTATCCCAGGTGGTTGAAGATTTTCTCCATCCACCACATACTAGCAGTACTAGTAGCTGATTGAAATAGTTGTACTTGGAGGCTCTGGGTAGCTACAACCGAATTAGACATGTACCCATAAACCAAATTCCAAGCCCAATCATTCCTCTGATATGGTTAAAGTTGGGCTACAATTAAATGCATCACTGGGCAAGTAATTTCCACCCCAAACTCTTCTTACAGCCATGCAGGGCCCCTTGCTGCCATGGCGGCCCAGCGAGGCGCCGACGACGCCGGCACTGCGGGGCGCGTGCGGGGCGCGGCCTCCGCAGGCGCCGCGGGGTGGGGGTCGTGAGTATAATTAACTGTCTTGGCAGGGTTTTAACGGTTTGTTTAAGCTTTACTTCTTGTGGGTTGAGGGTTTAGGTAGTGTATCTGAAGTCAAGGTCCACTGTCATGTTAAACACGGGCCTACGCTAGGGTTCTTTCTTCCACCCGAGAGACCACAAAGAGCAATACGTTTGGGAAGCTACAACTGGGATGGGTTGTTGCATGACTCTTGCGGGCTTGTTCCACAAGCATCCAATGTAAGGATTCTGTACGCAGCCCCAATCTTTGCCCCCGTCCGTTATGACCCGCCGCACCCTCAATCCTCGTACTCCCCATATGAGCTGATGTCAGTATTCACCTTATGAAGGGACCATTAGCAGCGGACATAGGGGGCCCTCTTGAAGTTTAGTACACTCCCCAATATAGCTAGTAAGGAACCCAAAGCCCTAAACATTAAACCTTAATATAGTCCTTAATGAGGAACCCATGTCCATTAAATTATGCAGGAAGTATTGACTGTAGCTCACATAGCACCTACATAAATCCCCATGCCATCCTCAGGTGGCCCTTAAAGAGAGGTTAAACATCCCTAGGATTTAGGGTTTAGGGTATCGTGTAGTTGCAAAGCCTTGAACCCTGAACTACCATTACTTCCCTAAACTCTCAAGACATAACACTGCACGTGGGTCTCATTGGTACAACCTTGATTCAAACCTGCATCGCCCAAGCCTGACAAGGGGCTTCCGTTGAAAATCATTTATATCATGGTAATAACTGCAAAGTAAAATGGAAGCTTGCTTTATACTGGGCTTCATAGGGATCATGTGTCGGTCTCAATTAGCTGTGACTCCCGGATACCTGGGAATTTGCATTGCAGGCAGATGGCTTCTGTGATTTTTGGGGGCTTGGGAGCTAGCTAGAAGATTGGCCACAAAGCGACTGTGACATTTTCATGGCCGAACTCCAGAACCCAACCCAGCAGGTCGTGCAGGCACCATTGTGCCCAAGGGCTGCGGCCGGATTCGTGTCCGCCGCGCTGGGAGGCTGGGAGTACGTAACGTTCGAAATTCTGAAAGCCATGTTCAGGGAAACGGAGTTGACCGTGGCTTCATGGACACATCCCTTGAAAGCTCTTCTTTTTTAAACTGCAAGTGAGGATTCCTGACACAAGTCCAGGCAGCTGTTATGGCGGCCCTTCATGTGGTTTTGGTTGTAAGATCTCATGCTATGCTGTGATGACTGAGATGCAGGACACTTCCGTTCGGACTTTGGGACCTGTAGGCTTCAGAAGTGATGCGATTTCTTGTCCCAAGGACCGGCAGAAAAACATCTTGGGTGACATACTGCCCTTCGTTTTGTAGTGCAGCAGCACGAGCTACAGTCCCATATACAAACATTCGTAGCAACTGTGAGGCCGAAAAATGGTTGCAAATAATTTTGACTGGTGACGGCTCTAGAAAGAGGAGGAATATTGTAAATGACATGCATAGGCACCATGCATGAGGCACTGAAAGCGCACACCCCATTTTATGAATGCTGCACCTGCCCTGAGGCTACTATGCGGCAAGGAAGCACTGCTTGAGAGCCAAAGGTGGGAGTTGGGTAACTTGCCTTTTCTTCCCTGAAGTGAGACCCCTATAACTAATCATTTCATACTCTCACCTACTTCCTATGCTGTGCTCACATAATCCTAGGGAGAAAACCTATAATGCTCCACACATATTTCCTCTACATATATACGGTTCTGATAAAATGCGAAATACATGGCAATGTAAAATACATCCTATACACATTTTATAGGCTATGCTATATGTTTTGCACACTCGCAGGCCCCAAGAGCCGTTCCCGCCATGTCCTCTTGGCCTCTGCCGAAGCTGACGGTCAGGAGGGCTTGGGCGAAAGAGCCATTTTGGGGATTCCCAGAATTGGGTGGACCTTTTTGGAAGTCCCCATATTACGGATTGTAGTATTTTGGGGTTCATATTGGGGTTCATATTGGGGTCCCCCGTTTTTGGGGAAACTACCATTTAGGGTTTCGGATTTCGGGAGAATCTACTTCTTCAAGCGTCTTCGAAGGTATCCTGTTTCTTGTGTTCTAGGGTGTAGTATAAGAGAGCATAATCTACTATAATATATTGCAACGTACGATAATATACCCTAATATGCTCTAATAGGTTTTGCCGCTTCAACCCCTGAGAGCTTTGCCCCAGCTGGATGTTTTTTTAAAAAAACCTTCGGCTAAGCGCTAAATCCCTGCATCCCAAAACTCATGACTTCCTGGATCTCAGTAGGGAACAAGGGAATATGAGGGTTTCCCAAAATTAGGGATACCCTTTTTGAGGTCCCAAAAATAAGGATTATAGTATTTTGGAGTCTACATTGGGGGGCCCCTATTTTGGGAAACTACCATATCATCTCGAGATAAACTGCATTTACTATGTTCCCTTCTTCCCCACTATAGCCCAATACATACCCTATTAGAAAGTAATACTTTCTTTTTTCTTTACTACTACTTTCTTACCCTAAACCCTAAACCCTATATTCCCCTTATTCCCTATGAAGCGCCTGTAAGACGACGAGGCGGAGATAACGGATGAGGATGTGGAGCTGTTGCGGCAGGTCCTCCCCGAGGTTGGTAACTTACCGTTTCGGTACGAAATGTAGGAATTATTCGCGGATTCTATAGGGATTATATGAGGATGGATTATAAGAGGATTATATAGAGATAATCTAGGGATTGGGGTTTAGGATTCCGGGTTTAGGGGCTGGGGCGTGGTTGAAGGGTTGCTCAAAAGCACTGCTATGCTGTGTTGGAACCTTTGCCTGCTGAAAATTACCAGTAAATCAGCAAGAATTAGGGTTTTAACCCAAAGCTTCTTGGCTTCGGACAGGTTCCATAGGGTCAGGGGTTTAGGGTTCCAGGTTTAGGGTTTAGGGTTTTAGGGTTTGAACTCCCCGAGTCCTCCCCTGAATTCTAACCTCAACGCTGAGGCTTTCAAAGTTCCTTACCTGCCTACCCACTGGACAAGTTTAAGGTCTATAGGCCCTTACATACAAGCCGTCTGCGAATCCTTAGAAAGCCCATGCAATCTCAGGTTCCATCTAATTTTTTGACCCATTTGATGTTCACAAATCGAATCACTCTAAGCCCTGAACCATTTTTATTGGATTTTTTCACTGGCCCAGGTCAAGGAGCTGGTGGTGCTCGGGAAGAGCAACACAGACTTGATCCTGCAGCTGGCCAGGAGAGGGCTATCACCAACAACTACTTACCGTTTCTCAGTAGCGAAGAAGGGAATATCGTATAATACAGGGATTTTATTCCTTTATTCCCTGCTAAGAACCAGTAA